CAACAGTCCATTCGAGGATGCCGATGGACCAGTTAGTGGCTTGTACCTGCTTAATCAGAAGTAGGTTCTTGAAATATGACTGATTGAGCTCCTCAATTCATTGATTTTCAGTTTATTCATTATTTGCAAGCTGCGTTGGGCCAAATTCGACATGCGTGGCAATTTGGTCGAAATCTTTGAAGTGCCGGGCGAGAATACGGATTGGGAGATATTGTGTAAATACCACTTGCTGCTTCTGCATTGAACGCTGAATATACTTGTTCCTAACCTTTCTCTTGCAGCAATGGAATTCTTCACCCCCCTCGACTATAATGTTATCTTTTGGTCGGGCTCAATAAATGAAATCCGCTTGCGCTTGGACTCGTGTCGCACATCCAATTATTCCAATTCAGTGCACTTCTTTAGCGCCTTGGTCATGAACAAGGGCCGCACGCGCGCCTATGGCTGTGCCAACAAGGATAATTTCCAAGTATCAGTTTACGACTTCATCGAGGATAAGGAAACAGGCGAGATACAGTGGACTTTTGTGGAGCACCTGCCGCGCTATGAAAACGATGAGAAGGAAATGCTGCTCCAGCTGCGCTTGGATCAACATCAGCAGGATCGCATGCTGCTTGGCACCGCTGGCCTGGGCTTTGTCATCTGGGACTTTGGCCGCAATGAGAAGGACTGTGAGCGAGCACCCATTTGCGAGGGCGCAATGTATCTGGCCCTGCCACATGGTGTTAGGAATATCACTACTCGCATCATGCAATCGAATTCCATAATGGTCAGCTCCAAGCTAGACTATGCGGTGGCTGGGGTGCGCAAGAATCTCTACGTCTGGTATCTCCACAACGGCCAGCTGGCCAAAGTGTTGGATGCTCATTTTGGACGAATCATACAACTGGAGCCGCTGACCATTGGCAACTGGAACAATTTGGTGACTTCATCCATAGATCGCTCGGTCAAGGTGTGGAACATCAACAATATATTTGAGAAGGTCCATGTCATTGACCGTCATGAGCTGCAAATAGACGACATCAGTCTCTCCGAGGTGGACATAGCTGTGACGGTCACACGCAGCTGCGTTGGCGTGTGGGAGACCCGCTCTGGTCGCCTACTCGCCAAACTGGCGGACAGTCCATTGGGCGCCATTGTAACGCATGCTGAAATCACTCCAGACGGACGGTACATCATCTCTTCGGAAACGGGCAAGTTTTTGATCTGGAACCGCGTGTCTGAGCARGTCRTTTATCGCGACGATCAGCCGGGCATTCAGCAGATAACGCTCATGGACTATGGCTACAAGGTGCTCACCGTGTCGGTGCCCAACATTAATCAAAGAGACATTCTAGCAGGATCGGATGAAACGAATCGCCTGACAGCCATAACAACGGTTCGGTCGATTCCAGGTTGGCATGGCATGGCTATCTGATTGGAAAATAGTTAACTGAGAACACATATTTCGTATCTTTCAGAGGGCACAATTCTATTTCGCTTTGATTTTCACATGCGCATGGTAACGGGCATGCCCTTTCGCCAGTCAGTTATCACAGCTGACAAGGCCTATATAATCGTGGTTACTTTGGACAAATCTAACAAGGATTGCCTGGGTGTTTATAGCGCAACGAATGGCTCCTTCGTATCAAAAATATTGCTCAAAGGCTGCGCCATTAAGGTGGGTGAATCAACTGGGTGTCCACCACTCCGATAATACACCAATATTGCTATTGCAGGAGGTGTTCTCGCTGGTGCCCATGCCTCACAAGGCTAACCAGGTCGCTGTGATCAGCAGCGAGAAGGGCAGCATTATGGACATCAAGACCAAGAAACATGTGCGCTCCATTGCCAAGTGGGGTGGCAGCCTCACTCGTGACGGAAAATGTGGGCTGTATGCCCCGACGAGGGGAGGCTTGGAGATGCTGGAGCTGCGCAAGGGCACCACGGTGAAGACCTTTATACCAAAGGTAGCCGAGGGCGTCTTCTCAGTCATTTGCATATTCACGGAGAATGATGAATATGTGGCGTATTACCACAGCGGCAGGAAGACCATTCGCGTATTTCGAACCGCCGACACTGAGATGATTGCCAACTACAGGCTACAAGCCGAGTTGACAGCCATCAAGAGCAGCAAGGATGGACGCGCCATAGTGCTGGGCACTGTCGACGGCTGCATGTCGGTGCTGGCCATTGTCGATCCCAAAAACGAGGAAATGTTTGAGTACTTAAGTGCGTTGCCATCTCGCGACGAGAACTGGAAGGCCAAACTGGCCAAGATGAAGGCACGCGTAGGCTTCAAGGCGGCCATCAGAGTGGCTACGATTTCCTCGCGCTATGGCAAGCCGAAGAATGACGAGGGTGACGAAGAGGATGAGGAGCTAACTGAAATAACGGAGAACATAGTGCCTGTAGCGGATTAGATGAAGTATAAATATAACATTTATTGTTGATTTGCATAAATAATGGGCATGTTACAAAAAATTCGTGAATATGAAGGTGTGTGAATGTTAAACTGGACAGGGCTTAATCTAAATAATTAAGGCAAAACGTAACTGCARCATAGTAGATTATTCATCATCATATTACAAGCTTGCGTGCAGTACATTTTCAATGTTTAAAAATTAGTTATTTAACTCGCACTGAGCGTTTCTGCCTTTGTTGGCCTATTTTAGCCGGGAGCTGCATAACAAGGCTTATACATAATTATTTGGAGGAAACATAATATTTTGGAGGAAAAACCAGTTCTCTTTTATTAATACATAACATGTGGTAATTGATTTAACTTTAAATTTTAACGCATTTTTATAGAATGATCGTAAAATATGCAAGGAACTAACTTAACGAACGACAAATGGAACATATTAAAATTGTAATCTCAACTCAGGCAATCGAAATTCGAATACATATATCAAATACATAACTCAGTGCTAATACATAGATAATTTGCTTTTGCAATACATATTAGTAGTAAATAATTGTAGTAGGCTTAGTGTAGTATGCTGTTATTGTTACTGTAGTAGCTGTTGTTAACTTGACTTAAGTTTCGCTTTGAATTGTTACTAAACTTTRTGATTATACCGAGAATCTATAAGCATACATATTTATGTTAAATAATAAATTGTTAATGTGGTGAAAGCTGACGCAGTACGTGCTAGACAGCTTATCTCGTTGCTGATCGGCAATAATATGTAATATAAATGTATATGATCCATAGCAGAACAGCTATAAACTGCTAACTAAAGAGTATGACGGGTCTCTCCTTCACACTTATTGGGCGTGATTCTCCTTTTTAATCTGCGCCAGTTTGGCCTGTATATGCTGAAGACGATTGGGCGACAATTCAGGTTTCTGGAAAGGAAATAGAATGCATGATATATATGCCACAAGATTTTACANGTTTATAGCGCAACGAATGGCTCCTTCGTATCAAAAATATTGCTCAAAGGCTGCGCCATTAAGGTGGGTGAATCAACTGGGTGTCCACCACTCCGATAATACACCAATATTGCTATTGCAGGAGGTGTTCTCGCTGGTGCCCATGCCTCACAAGGCTAACCAGGTCGCTGTGATCAGCAGCGAGAAGGGCAGCATTATGGACATCAAGACCAAGAAACATGTGCGCTCCATTGCCAAGTGGGGTGGCAGCCTCACTCGTGACGGAAAATGTGGGCTGTATGCCCCGACGAGGGGAGGCTTGGAGATGCTGGAGCTGCGCAAGGGCACCACGGTGAAGACCTTTATACCAAAGGTAGCCGAGGGCGTCTTCTCAGTCATTTGCATATTCACGGAGAATGATGAATATGTGGCGTATTACCACAGCGGCAGGAAGACCATTCGCGTATTTCGAACCGCCGACACTGAGATGATTGCCAACTACAGGCTACAAGCCGAGTTGACAGCCATCAAGAGCAGCAAGGATGGACGCGCCATAGTGCTGGGCACTGTCGACGGCTGCATGTCGGTGCTGGCCATTGTCGATCCCAAAAACGAGGAAATGTTTGAGTACTTAAGTGCGTTGCCATCTCGCGACGAGAACTGGAAGGCCAAACTGGCCAAGATGAAGGCACGCGTAGGCTTCAAGGCGGCCATCAGAGTGGCTACGATTTCCTCGCGCTATGGCAAGCCGAAGAATGACGAGGGTGACGAAGAGGATGAGGAGCTAACTGAAATAACGGAGAACATAGTGCCTGTAGCGGATTAGATGAAGTATAAATATAACATTTATTGTTGATTTGCATAAATAATGGGCATGTTACAAAAAATTCGTGAATATGAAGGTGTGTGAATGTTAAACTGGACAGGGCTTAATCTAAATAATTAAGGCAAAACGTAACTGCARCATAGTAGATTATTCATCATCATATTACAAGCTTGCGTGCAGTACATTTTCAATGTTTAAAAATTAGTTATTTAACTCGCACTGAGCGTTTCTGCCTTTGTTGGCCTATTTTAGCCGGGAGCTGCATAACAAGGCTTATACATAATTATTTGGAGGAAACATAATATTTTGGAGGAAAAACCAGTTCTCTTTTATTAATACATAACATGTGGTAATTGATTTAACTTTAAATTTTAACGCATTTTTATAGAATGATCGTAAAATATGCAAGGAACTAACTTAACGAACGACAAATGGAACATATTAAAATTGTAATCTCAACTCAGGCAATCGAAATTCGAATACATATATCAAATACATAACTCAGTGCTAATACATAGATAATTTGCTTTTGCAATACATATTAGTAGTAAATAATTGTAGTAGGCTTAGTGTAGTATGCTGTTATTGTTACTGTAGTAGCTGTTGTTAACTTGACTTAAGTTTCGCTTTGAATTGTTACTAAACTTTGTGATTATACCGAGAATCTATAAGCATACATATTTATGTTAAATAATAAATTGTTAATGTGGTGAAAGCTGACGCAGTACGTGCTAGACAGCTTATCTCGTTGCTGATCGGCAATAATATGTAATATAAATGTATATGATCCAKAGCAGAACAGCTWTAAACTGCTAAMTAAAGAGTATGACGGGTCTCTCCTTCACACTTATTGGGCGTGATTCTCCTTTTTAATCTGYGCCAGTTTGGCCTGTATATGYTGAAGWCGATTGGGCGACAATTCAGGTTTCTGGAAAGGAAATAGARTGCATGATATATATGCCACAAGATTTTACATGGGAAATGGGGYTAGGGAGTTTTTGTGACACCAACCTCCTGTCTGATTAATGACACTTTCTGTGAGTTCATCGAGTTCAAGCAAAGATTCTCATCGGCTACCCGATTGTCAAGCATATTGGAGCCATTGTCGCCGTTTTGACGCGTGGACATCAAGTTCTGCAAACGGGCCATCCAATAGTCCGGATCATGCGATGCATTCTGATAGTTGACATCTGTGAGATAAGAACGAGTAGAAGCTGCCGATTGATCGAATTTATTTATGTTAGTAAAGAGGTGCGAGTGGTTAAGATAAGGATTTTGTCGTGTGTTATTTGTGGATTTTCAACTCACCTGTACGATTATCAGGCGCTTGTGTGCCCGCATTCTGATTGCGTTCAATTTCAGCCAGCCCTTCCTCAATGTACCTGTGAAAAGTGACGCTGGCCCCTTGCAAAAAAGTGCTCAGATCAATGTCAGGATTTTGCTGCTGCAGTTCAAAAGTAAAGTTAGTATGAATTCTGGCCAAGCGCATATCCGCACGTACCTTAAAGTCATAAAGCTTCTGCAGACCTTGTTGCTTGGTATCCTTGTCTGAGATCAGCTTGAAAATTTGCGATACTGTATCGTGGGTCTGATGCGATATGCGCTTTCCATCAACATCCTTAGAATGGTACTGTTGACGCTGCGGCGAAACACCAGCACCACCCGACACTGTGCCATCTTTTTGGAAATTCTAAATAAAACATTTTCAATAAAAACTTTTCTATTATATAGCTATTCAAGTGTATACCTTTAATATACGTATCAAGTACGTGTGCAACTCTGAATGTGTAGGTATCTGATTCAGATGCTGTAATATGCCGTTGCCCTTCACCTTGGCCATGTTGTGTATGATCGTCTTTACGGTGCGCAGCGGCGTATCCGATGGACGATTTTGCCACCAGGTGCTAGGCAGTGCCAGCATAAATTCATGAACTTCYAAGATGACTGCATCATAGTTGAGCTCATTGGTTCGTTCCGGTAGCATTTTAATATTACGCCAGATGCATTTCATCAGCAAATCGGTGAATTTGGGCAAACCTGCTACGGGGCAGGTCTCCCTCAACAAACGTATTAAGGCGCTGCAGGAAATTGGTAAAAAAATATATTTATTTGTTTTATTTTAGTGTCATGTTTTACATACCAATAGATATTTGTAAAGTTGACTTTGTCTAGCACTTTAAGACAAATACCATTGATGACCTTGTTGTATTGACAATCATCTCCGCTGTTTAGTTTTTGATCAGCCAGCAAATGGAGCAGTGCAGACATCAGATTCTTAATACAGGCAATACTTAGAGTTTTGCCGAGAATGTTAGCATTGAAGAAAGTGTACAAAATGGACAGCAGCGGTTGATACACAACCTGAGCCTGTGCTATAGGCATCTGCGAGAGATTCTATAGACATAAGAAGAGTAAGACATGTTTAAAATTTTGACTATTTAGTTAAAGCGAGAAAACGTCTCACCTTCAACTGTGCCAGCACATTTTGTATAAATATTTCCTCGTAATCGCGCAGTACGGCCTGTTTTTCGGGAGCCTCAATAATCTCAGTTAGCTCATTTATGGCTGCACGGGCCTCAAGCGTGTCCGTGCTGCTGACTGCTTTTATAATTTTCACTAACTTCGGGTCGTGCTTGGGCAGCATTTCGGCCAGACTGAATGTAACAAAATATTAGTGAAGATTCCTGAAGCGAACTAATTTAAATCTTACTTGGGTATATTGCTTTCCAAATGGGTTTGGCTTGTTAAGTGTGGCTGCATTCGCAGGGGACTGCGATAGGGGGAAATGCCGCTAGACATAGTGGGATTCGACTGCGGCGATGTGGTTAAATTTTGTTGTATGTGACGCGAGCGCGCAATGAGTCGATCGAATTTCTCCTGTGGATACTGGAAACCGTCGCGTGTAGGAATAACTTTAATTGGCTCGTAAAGCAGCGATATGTCCACTGTAGGTAGCTCCTTGAATACCATTTGATCAACACGCACCCAATCTTTCTCGATTTCGGCCATCACCTGGGGATCCAACCCGAATGGACCAGTTGTCCTCTGTTGTGCAACCTGCTGCTGATGTAGTTGCAATTGCTGTTGCAGCTGTTGCACTTGTGCAGACGGTGCTTGATCAAATGTACTGTGTGGAGTAAAAAATAATTTAGATTTAGCTTTAAATTTTTCGGACATTTATCTGCCCAGCACAAACAATACTTGAACAGATATTGTATATAATAATATGAGTGCAAATGGAATACTAGTTTGAAACATCGATACAACAAAAGCAAATGTAACTGAGCAAAATGAACAGAGCACAATCCCACAAAATAACACAATAAACAAAACAACGTGTAAAGCAAAACAAACGGTGAATTTTATACATATATAAATAGACATATAGAAAGAAACGCCACTTTACGCCTGTCGATGCAGCGAATGTAAGATGGTTTTAGCGCTTGTGGCACTCCGCTCCGCCAACCTGTTGCTTTGACCACACTCATTAAACTCTGGCTGCTGGCGGCTAGCTCGCAAAATTAATGGAAAAGAAAATAAGCAAAATCATACAAATAAAAAAAAGTGAACATAAAATGGATTATAAAAAGAATAGCCAGGAATGGAAATTGGAAAATATCAAACGAAAGAGCAATATTTGCCATCCTTAAATTTACATCCTACATTTTCCAATTACAGACATCAAAACTGTTTCAAATTAAAAGATATGTTTCATCACCTATTAATTTTATATTTATTAATTATTAATTTGGGATATTGAATTTGGGATTTATACGTTCCAAAATTAATTTAGATTTCATAAAATCTTTCGCTATAATTTATGCATGGTTAACTGTCCTCATTGAATGGAAATAAAAAGCTTTTGATAGACACGCTTTATTAGCAAAAAGAATTTTGATATACTCCAATTTAGAATTCCCATTCCTGGAAAGCTGTAAACAATATGTACTAGCTGCGTTTTAGTAAGTGCTTGATTGCTGTTTCTTTGCCCCTCTTAATATGCTGACTTACCCCTCCTCTTCGGGTGGCGGCAGCTCGTCACAGCCATTGCCTACAGCATCCTCAATCTCTATGCTGTCTTGCTGCACTACCTGCGTTGGTGGCTTCAGACCAGGCGGCATCTCTGCTGGTACAGCTGGTTTTCTTGTCTTTTTGGCTCGCTTGATACGCTCGTCAAGCATTGAGAGATCCTTCTCATTGAGCTGACCAATCAGTTTGTAAATTTTTTCGCCCGCTAGGAAATATGCCATTACAATGCAGTTAAGCGCCGCATTGCGTACTGAATTGTCACGATCAGAAATTTGGCGCGCTATTTCCTTCAGCGCCACCTGCTGCGACGGCTGACAAATTCCTAGTCCATAGTTCTCGATGAGGAAGGTTAACTCGTCAAGGCATTCGGTGCGCTGACGTGCATTTTTCGAYTTAAGTCCTTCCATCACATACGAGAAAACCTTGGTAAAGGGATATAACAGGTTTATTTGTCGAAGCACACGACGCACTCCGTTTCGAACAGCGTCCTTTGGGTCACCGATCTGTGAAGATATATGACARGTTAGAAATTGGAATGTTGTCACATASTGCAATATAAATACGCTCACCTTCAATAGCAGATGAGGMACAAAGCTGCTGCCCTCATTTTCAGCCATCATATACTCCATTTCGACCAGCATCTGGAACACTTGTGCTAGATACTCGAGACCCTTAATGAGCACAGAAGGGTTCGTATCATAGAAGCGTAACGTTAACCACTTGAGAATTAAATCAAGATTGCAAATCAACGCTTTCCTATTATTTGGCAAGTCCTCGCTCAACTGTTCAATAACTTTCAAGTGATAACTGCAATGAACAAATATTTTTCAATTAGCAATATAAGTAATAATAATACAGTATTTTTATAAAGTTCATAATTATGGATATTGATTTTTAAATTTAGTTATTCCATTCAACGTTAAGTTTTCAATTCAATTATTTTTTGAGACTAATAGAAGCTACAATATTTATAATAATATATTATTGCACAACTGTTTGAAGATATGATATTTTATTGTGCATGTTGTACCACCATAATCATTTAAAATTTAAATTGCAGTAAGAAAAGTATTGACATATAAAAGTAGCACAAGATATATTGTTAAAATTGGGATGCACGCAACAGAGAATTTTGACTCCGAAATGGTAATTTAAAATTGTTGGGTTGTCTTATTTTGCGTACTTGATTTAATGTAAATTAACTTTTGTTTTCCGTTACGATTGAACTCGGGGTCTGATCGGTAGGACTTAGATTTGGAATAAGGACGTGGTCCGAGCTAACATACCGAAAGTCGTCGTGAAACATGTTGGCCATCAATGCCTTGTTYACATTGGCTGTGGTCATCTGATCGCGAAGCAGATCCGTAAACTCTTCACGTGGTGTAGTGAATGTCCATTTGAGAACACGCATTTTCTGCTCATCGATTAGCCGCTGGTTTTTCATATTGTTCACTGCCAGCAGCGGCGACGTATCGACATCCTCCTCCTTTTTGCGGGAAGCTGCTGTCGTTGTTGCTTTATCGCCAGCGGCATTGGCTGCTTTGGTTGCAATTTGTTTTTGGGCAGCGGCACCACCRCCACCACTGCGCACCACCTTTTTGGTTTCTTCTGGTATGGGCGCTTGCTGTTTGCCTTTCGGGAGCGGCTTGACGGGTAAATTCGGTCGAGCTTTCTCTAGGGCAGCCGAGATGTCCTTCTTTGATGCAGGTTTTTGTTTGTCCAGGGCGCGTGCCATCGCCTCATAACCCAGATGAATCATGACGGCCAGCACAGCTTCGTTTGCGTTCTTGCGTACTTCTGCATTGCGATCACATATGTGGGCATACAAATGTGGAACCATTGAGGTCAGCTCCTCCTTGGATATCGATTTGGGCGGCAGAAGTGGCATCTTTTCAGCCAACCATGCCCATAACTCAGCCTTCAGCAACGGCGAACCACTTTTAAGGGCATCGGCAATCATTTCGTTCTCGAAAAACTCTTTGTAGCCGCCTTGTTCACCAAAACTATTCATACAGTTAAGACCAGCCGCACGAACAAAACTTTTATTGTCGCCAAGCGCATGTAGAAAGCCAGGAAAAAGGACGCGCACATGACTCCGACAACCGGCTCCCATCGCTGTCGAAAGCTGCTCGCAGATTGATAGCGCCGTTTGAGCTATTTTCGCATTAGAGTCGAGGAGACGATGTGCGAGAGCTGGCGCCAAGTCACCAATGGTTGGCTTAATCAACTTGGCTTCACTAATGATTACCTGCAGCTTGGTGAGGCCCTCATTTCGCGTTTTCCAATCTTTGTCGGACATTTCCTTTAGCAGCGATTCGGTAATTTGGCTGGATATGTCAACACGTGGCAGCAGATCGGCCAAATTCATGGGTTCCGGTGACGCTCTGCCGTTGCCCTCATCATCGTCATTAGCATCTTCCAAATTGGCGCTACTGGAAACACCACGCACAGGCCTGGGCGGCTTTTCGCCCAGATTCTTATTGAACTCGGCTTGAATTTGAGATTTTAGCGCTGGCTTTTCCCCGTCGAAGAACAGCATCACTGCGTTGCCCATGTACATTGTCATGGTGCCCACCAGCTGGATAGCGGCTCCGCGAACTGTTGGATTGGTGCTCTGTACACCCTTACGCACATCTTCGATGAGTATTTTGGGCTGTACCTTAAAACCAAATTCCACGATGGCCTTGTTAATCCAGTTAAAGGCCTCCGCCTGTACTTTGGGTGACTTTTGGTCAAGGGCAAAGCTCAACACTTTACTAACGACATGCTCCAATTTGGTTGCTTCGGATAAAGCGCTTAAAGCATCGGAGGCAGCGCCACCGTTCTTTGCATCAGCCAGTTTTTCTGTTATTTCATTAACCACATGGTCTACCGTGACAGCTGTTAGTGGAAAGTTTTCAGCCACACATCGAATAGCGTCCAACTTAAGCTTGAGCACCTGGAAGTTCATCTCCTTGAGCCCAGGTTTGCGACCGCTAATAGTTCGAACTAAAGTTTGAGATAGTCCTGGCTGTTGGGCATCATAGCTGGGAATTTGCGATAGTAGCTGTTCCATAGCCGCTAAACGGGTTTTCCAGTTGCTGTCGACCAATCCGTTTAAGATATCAGCTGACAGCAGCGCATCAGCTTTTTCCTGTATTTCTTCAGGCGTCAGTTCACGTTCTGAAACTGTGGCTTTGCTGCTGGCTGTTTTGTTCGTTGCTGCGGGCGCTCCGCCTGTCGCTCCTGTTCCTGGTTTTTTCAGTGTCTTTCGAGCACCTGATGTGGCGGGTCGCGTAACTGCCTTGGGCTCTGTGCTGCCGCCGGTCGGCTTGGATACAACGGCTGCAGCCTTAGTGGTCGGCGCTGTGGCCGGACGAGCTTCTTTTTTGGGTGCGGCTACTTTAATTTTAATCTCGGCCTTATCGTGGCACTCCTTGATTTTTACCATCTTGAGCGCATCCACATCGAGAAGCAGTGGCGCAAGTGTCTTTTCGCTCACCAATTTCATCAGAGTACCCAGTGCCTCAGCACTGCTGTCGCGCACCGTGGGGTCGGATTCGTTCAACGTTTTGACCAAAGAAGTGGTCAACAGCTTGATAAGTTTCTTATTTAATGCTGTCGGCTGGGTGCGACACAGTGCACGTGCCAAGAACAATGCAGTCTCAGACTTGACGCTGGGATTCTTGTTGGTCAGCGCTTCTACGATGTGCTCTTGCTGTGCCTCTAGCGTTGTCGATGAATAAATCGCGTCCATAGCCTCACGCAGTGCGTTTACCACATTGGGTTTCTTCTCTTTGAACTTCTCCAGCAGCGCTGGCACGCAAGCCTTAAAGAAAATGAGAAGTAGAGCAAGGACGTATCATCAATAGGTTTTACTCACCGTTGCATAAGTGGAGAATCGCTTGGAAAGACCTTTGGCCAGCATGGCTAGACATTTGCCAGCTAAGGCCACAAGTACCACATTTGAGTCCTTAGTAATAACTTTTTTCAATGCGCTGACCAGGGCGCCATATTCACCAGCTTCCAACTTTGGATTTTCCGTGAGCAGCTTTTCTAATGCATCCAAAGATTCTTTACGCAAAGTCCATTTCTTCTCGTCGAGCTTGTCGTAAAAATCTTTAGGCATTTTAGACAATATGTCGACRGGATCTATAAGATCCATTGGATCTACATCCTCAGYGCCAGCTTCGCCMTCTTCATCTGCACAAAACAAGAGTGAAAAATCATTTATAACATATATATATCTATATAATACTTAATATGTAATTTTAACAAGGAAATTAATGTTTGTTCGTCGGGTTTTTCTTTGTCGCCTTCGATAAAAAATTCTCTACTGCCCCATATAAATTGTAATAAAATTTCTTTTATATACTTAAAAACTTATTAAAAATATGTTTTTAATTTGCTTTTACAAAAGGTATTAATTTTTAAACAAAAAATATTTTTCCGACACAGGTCGATAAATTAGGCGAAATCAAATAATTTAAAATGATTCTAATACTTGCTAGAATTTTGAGATTATATTTAAAAGCAAATAGGGTATTTGTTATCTTCTTTGCAAGTTACAATTATATTTAATCTGGTAGATGATTCGTTTGTTTATTTATATTGATAAGACATCAGAAATAAGATTAATGTGAAATAGATGTAAAAAAGTAAATAAGTATAGTTGAATTTGGAAAAGTAATAAACCACCAAAGATAATTACTCAGCGACCTACGATGTGTAATAACTCTAAATATTGTGAAAGGGAAATATACCTAGCAGGGACCGGTATGCACACTTCGGAGAGCAAAAAATAGACCTTTCTTTGCGTACTTGCTTACGATATTTCTTGATTGATTTTCGGCTGGGAGGTGATATATTGTCTATTTATAGGTCATTATAGTAAACTTAATAATATATATGCTAAGCTGCTTTTTTACCATCGTACGCATCCTCGCCGCCGGCTGCGGCTTCGTCAGCAATCTTAGCCTGTTTCTCCTGTTGCGATTTAAGGTATCTGCAAATAAATATAATTTATTTATGGACAATAGACCTAAATTTTATTTAATTACCTGGTTGGCTCAGCACGATCACCCTTTAATTTGTCGAACTCGTCCTCCAATTCTTTAACGGTTACTTGTGGCAAAGAAGAAATATGTGTCTTCATGACAGCTCCAATCCAGCGATAGCTCTCAACGGCTAGCTGTTTGGTTTCATCACGCACTGCCTTGTCGCGATCGGCCATGAGGGGAGCTAACTTCTTGATGAATTGCTTAACACCAATTACCTTGGAGCCGAATTCTCGCATTGCTTGTGTTGTTGCTGCTACGCAGGCGGCCACAATTTTAGGATTTTTGTGGTCCATGCCCTTAACGAGTTCCTCTACGACTGCCTCGTGCTTTTCGATCTCCACATACATAAGTGTGACCTGCACAGCGAGTTCCTTGGTCTTGGTCTTGGGCGCGGCAATACATTTCTGAACAATTCCAGACATTACATCGCCAACAGTGCGACCAGCAAGGCTGCTATTTTCTACAAATATGAGAGCTGCCTCCAAGCCCTTCTCCTGGGCAAGAGCATTGGAGTCAACAACCATTTTCTTTATGAGACCCGCATATTTTGACCATTCCGGTGACTTCTCGTCGTCCAGTTCACGAAAAATTTTAGCAGCCTCCTCGTAACCATCGACACGCGCCTTCCACAGCTTGTGAACGCATCTCTCCTCAATAGGAAGTTTTTTGTATTCGGTATCCTCGGCCATTTCAATGTATTTGTCTATGTACGGTTGCAATCCGTGACTTGGTTATGGGTTTACCTCAACGAACAAGCAACTAGCTGAAAGTGAAATAATCAATTGATATTAAAAAATGGTTGAAAAGTTTATGTTGATACATGAAATTGAAAATCAAAAGCAAAACTAACTCAATCGAGCAGAACTTTCTGATGATGATGGGAATCACAGTTAATGCTTTCAAATTGCGCCTAATTGTGGATGAAATGCTTAGCCAGAAATTCAGCCGATACGCTTGGAAGGCACTACTTGGAGAAGCGACAAAATTAAATAGGTCGCATGGCCATATTTAGAATTTGACTTCATTAATGCTAAGTTCTATTCTTATGGCATAAACACATTTATTTTTAAAAATCGCAAGGATTGAGCACKGGGTACGCGCCCATGATGAACTCATACACTCATACAGTTACAAACAAGCAAACAGCAGCGCGACATTTCATAAATCAGACATGTAAATAACCATTTCTTCCCTCAGTAAACAAAGCCTTTAGATGCACAGACACGCAACTGTAGATACCAAAGAGTATTTACTGGTCGTGAATATCGTTTACATTGAGTCGGCTCACTCTTTCTCATTTGGCGCTCTATTCTTACGAAAAGCGATTGGTGAGTGCGACGCTCTCTTATTCCCTCGCGTTTTCGAATTAACGGATCAATCATATGTTTCTTAAAAAGCGTCGTGCGTCAACTAAATACCTTCCTCTTTGGGTTTGTATTACGGATAATTATATTTGAGTAAATTAATTTTAAGTATGTTTAATTTATTGATTAGGATGCAGTAGAAATGTTTGAAAAACACTGCTTGAAGATACATACAACTAAAATATACACATACATGTGTATGTATGGCTTGGTCACACTACCATATCAATGCTACTTAATAATATTAATACAGTTTAAGGACTGATCAACGCATTAAAAATGAACGGTTGTTTATGTCAATTACCCCTTTCGGCGAACACAGCTCAGCTTTGTATTTCTTTTGTTTCGCACTCCACTCTTATTGAAATCATTTAGTGAGTGTGACGCTTCTCTCGCGATTTCGAATTAACGGATCAATCATAACAGCAAATGTTTCTCAAAGAGCGTCATGCGTCGCAAAATGCCGTCGTTTACCGTTTCTTCTTACATATAATTAAATTTAGTTTTATTAATTTAAAGTAGCGTCCATTATACTGCCCTACACAAGCGACAATTAACGCCCACAGAAGCAACAAAATACCAACAAAGCTGCTTTTATATGCGTCTTATTAAATTCCATTGCAGCACTCACCATTAAATAAAACAAAATCCCATAGGGCGCACACAGCTGGGCAGCTGGCGCAACGTAATGCAATAACTTCGATTTTTCACAGGCGCATAGAAGGCAAGCCAATACACAGGCACATACTCATACAAGCCCACACACGCACACAAAAATTGCCACTGACACTGACACACGGCTTTGTGCGACACAATGCGAAAACGAAATTCCAAGCTGGTGCCGTAACAACAATACTTTATACTAACCAATTTAATTTTGCTTTACGCCACTATTTTAGAAAATAATATAAATAATTATTCGTCTTGAAAATAAATAACAAAACTGTGCACGACTTTTAAACGGCGGCAGCGACGCTCGCTGTCTGTGAAATACTAATGGGCATTCAGTGTGAATGGCATTGCCGCATTTACTTACAACAGGGCTCTGCTAAAAGGAGGAGCAGCTCTGTTAAGTATAACTGTAAAGAATAATATGAAGAACTTCTAGCTCATTTTCTGGTTTTACTTCTTTATTACTGCGGAGCATTTAACGTTATTTCCAGCAGATGTATTGTATGTCCACCCATAAATTCAAGCAAATCAACACCGGACTGCTTTCCAATCTCATCCATATTGATGCTCGACGCATGTAGTTTCCATTTCTTAAGCAGCGCCTCGATGCACCAATCAGCGCTTCTTTCTTGATAGGTGAATATGAATTTAGCACCACGATTTCGTTCCAACAGGAACGCCACCGTAACAATTATGTCCTCGAAAACGCTGGGATCATAGAAGCAATCGGCAGCTATGATTAAGTCCAAAACAGGCAGCCGAAACACGCTGTTCAGTAACAGCCCCCAACTGAGGCCGACGACATCGATGTCCACACCTGGTTGCAACTGATTGGCCAGGCAGGACTTTTGTATATGTGCTAAGGATTTGGGTAGAATGCAATTGTCACTGAGCACCACTTGGGCTCCGCATTTGGCGGCAACTATACCGGGTAGCGCAGTTCCAGCGCCCAGTTCGAGAATTCGCTTGCAGACAAGAGTTTGCCGTCGCTCCCACAAAAAATGGGCGAGAATCGGAGCACAAGGCCAGGTATAGAATGAGTAAGCACCCTGTAGAATCTAAATTTACAACAGTGATTTACTGGATTAATTTTTGGCTTCATTGTAACCATTTTGTTAAATTTACTTCAGGTATTTTGATTTCCAAGCGATCAGCGGATGCATCGGTGCCGCCTCCAAATACAAACTTACGAACGTGGTCAGCACTGGCTGTCGCAGTAACAATATCACTCTCGTCGCTGCTGCCGTTCATGTGGAAACGCATTTTTACACATACACGTTCTTTAAAGGGTAGCTCTTATTCATAAATTAGTATTTAGGAAAATTCAAATGCTTGTTGTTTACAACCTGTTTGCTTGCTTTTTAGAGATGTGCAACAACATGTGAATGAATCATCGCACATGAGTGGCACCACTAACCACAGTGGTAGCACTTACACGAATGTTTCTTTATCTATTCTATCATCATAATGTTTTAATCTTTATTAAATTATATTAGATTATTAAATAAATTTAAATTTTATACATCAAGTGATAAATAAATATATATATATTTCTTGTTATTTAATTTTTATGTAGACATTTCAATAAATTTTGTCGCGGATATTAGATCACTTCAATATCGAATATCACTCCTCTCTAGAGGAATCGATGAAAGCCTATTGCAAAGAATTTTAGTCTTAATCGCGGCACATATCGATGTTAACCTGTTGAGATGGTCTGCCGCTATTAATATACATTTCGGAAATATCTTGAAATTTTGAAGAAGTTTTATATAAAAAAGTATTAGAATGCGGCCTAATACGTTGCGTGTTGGTGATTGGGAGCTAAAGGGCCATCTTGGGCAAGGGGGCTTCGGCGAAGTGAAGCATTGGAAAAACCGCAAAACAAACCAGGAAATAGGTATGCAATTAATATATCAGTACGTGCTTCGTAAAATATTTATATAGTATACTTTTGCATACATACATATATAACTATATATGGATACCCTAACACCCATACAAACACGCATGCATATATGTAAACATACATACATGGAGTGCAAGTCGATTCCTAGAAATTGCTGATTCAAGAGTTTGTTTGTTTACATTGAATTGTTTCTAWGTGTGCGTGAACTGATAAGTAAAGAGATCGTTACTCGAAATACTATGAATGAAAAAAAGGAAACTGCTTTGCTGTCTCACACACATTCACAAGAATATTTTGTTTATCTTAAAACAGCCACCAAGCACATCAAGCATGACATACAAGACAAAATAACCGTTGATCAGCAGGAAACTATGAAAAATCGCTGGCTGCAAGAGTTTGAATGGTCGCGCAAATTCAAAAAGGCTTTCATTGTAGCTGGCATTGAACTGAGCAATGATTCGAAGGCGTTAATTGAGTACTTAAATCGCAATCACGTCTGGAGGTTGCCCGTTATAGTACTCGAGTATTGCAATGGGGGAGATGTACGAAAACTTTTGGAAAAACCACAAAATGCAAACGGTGAGCAGAGACATTTAGTAAACTCCAATTTCTTTTCTGTTGTCTTCAATTTTCAATTAAGATACCACCTAAAGATGTTTGTTTTTGATTTTGAATCTGATAACGGATATTTATGATTCTGAGAACGGATATTTATGATTCAATAACAACGAAAATCCATTTAATAACAGCTGAAACTGCGATTAAACTGTATATTTCGCTTCTACTATTGAAAAATAATTTTATTATTATTTTGGTACTTTTTTGGTACTATATTGTTTTTATTTTTTTATTTTTTTAGGACTGTCGGAATTTGAAGTGCGCGAGATATTATTTTCTCTTCGACAAGCCATTGACTTCTTGCACACCAACTGCAAAATCTGCCACCGCGACCTAAAGCCAGATAATATTGTGATACACCATACGGGCAATGGTCGCAAAATGTTCAAACTAACTGATTTTGGTCTGGCGCGCGATTCTCCGGAGAAAACGACTCAGCAAAGCGTCGTTGGCACTAGGCATTATTACGCACCCGAGGTGGTAGACACTGGCAAGTACAAGGAGACGGTGGATTACTGGTCAATGGGCGTGATTGCCTACGAGGTGGCAACTGGTGTGTTGCCCTTCATACCCCACCAAACTGCTGTCAATATTCATATCAATATTAAGAAAAAGAATCGCGACTGTATTGCCATAACAGAAGATTTTGAGAATCCGAATCGCTTTTTCTTTCATAACGATATACCCATTGGACACCATTTGAGCCAACCGTGGTTGGCGAAATTTATTAAGTGGCTGCGCCTGGCACTCGACAACGATCATTCAAGACGTGGCGCCCTGACAGCAACTGATGAAGTACAAGATGGAGTTGCAGGACCTGCAATATTTACTCAGGTCGATCGAATGCTGCAGATGAAAGTACTGACTGTTTTTGTTGCGAGCATCTACAAGCTCCTGCAATACGAATTGATGCCCGACATGAAGCTGCAGGAATTGGTAGAGCTAATTGCACGCGACACAAAATTGGACATGAGTACGTTTTATTATGTGCTACCTACGGGTCATCCACACAAGCGTGTGACTGCAGAAACCAAACCCATTGATCTCTATGTAGACGAGTGGCGAGATAGTAGTGAGGAATCTCGGAATCCACCAGTTATGCTCTACATCTTTAATGTAATGGAAAAGCCAACATTTAAGCCACCCGAGCCAAATATTCCCAATGGGCTAAAGCATTTCTTTAATCAACGTGATATCAAATTAGAAAAGTGGCGTGCTAGACGCATGATATTGGATATGCATTATATGCTTAGTACAGAGCAAGCACTCGCTAAAATGCTACTTTGTGGATATAAGGAGTATGCGCTCTCTCTGGAGCACGACATTCTCGAGTGTCAGCCCATGATTAAAGCTTTAGAAAGAGAAAAGGATAAGTGGTGTGGTGCTATTGAGCAGTTTCATGCCCTAATAACTGCTGCAAAAGAACAGAACAAATTTCAATTGGTAATAAAAAGCAAGAACAAGATATTGACTTTTCAATAACTTTTAAAAATCTTAATCTTACTCTTGTAGGGCAATAACCAAGAATGGCAATCCAAACTGATGAGTGTTGTTGGAAAACATAGTAAAATCGTCAAATATATCGAGACCATCATTCATCATTATGAATCCGTATTGCGTATCGCACGGAAAGATGCAATTATGGCGAGTGAAGACATTTATAACAAGATTTTTAAAACTGATATTTACAATATGTAAGCAGACAAATATTTTTATAATTATGCTTAAAAGTTCATTGAACAACTCCTTTTTCCTTGCAGTAAGACTTTTCAAAGAATGTATATCTTTGCCGATGCTATAACGTCCACAGAGCTGCAAAATATCGGTATTGAATTTGCCCGAGCTCGTAATGCCTTTCTCGCTAATGAAAGCATCGAAAATGTACWCATGACCATAAATGCAACGAATTTTCGCTTCCAAAAAATTACAAAGTTGCAGAACGCCATGGAGAATCTAAAGGCAGTTCATGAGGAGCTATTGCAATTGCAATTGGAAATGTTGTCTCCGATACATTCGCCACCCATATTTCAACTGAATAAAGCTATGGATATGATGAAAATTGATTGTGCTTATATTCAAACACCACATAGTTTGGATCCTTTCGATAGTTTGTCTACCGATAACATCATCTCCCAGGCGATGAGCATCAGTCAATTGTGTGTAAATTGAATTTTTTATTATATTTTCCGACGTCTAATTTTTTTGCTAATTTTTTTCCAGAATGGAGCAGGAAATGGACATTGAACACAGCTAGAAACCCTGTAATTATAATGTCTTCCAGATTACTGCTTGATATTATGTATTTTATTTTATTTTGCATGAAAGTTCAATGCAGTTTTGAGAGCTTTAACATAATCACAATTTGATCATTTATGTTTTTATTATTATTGCTTTTGTAAAGCAACGTTAAATTTGTCTCTTATTATGTTATGTATATCTTGCGCTTTATGTTTATTTTATTTTTTTTACATCCATCTATGGGTTAAATATTTACTCAAACGTCGTATTTGGTTCATAATATTTGTTAAAAGAAAATATATACATATATTTACCCCATTACTTCTACATTTGTTTTTATTATGAATGAAATAAGATATTCTCAAATTAATTATATTTATTCACTTGGCGCACAGAAATTTTTGTTAACTTATAAGCTGAAAGTCTGTTTTGATTTGTATATATCAGCAGTTACCCAGAAGAGAGCTAGCTGTTTATTATTGGTACATATTTTATTATTAATACAGATTACTGTTTGATATATATTGAAGTTGGGGAAACAAAGAATATAAAATATTTGATCGTTTTATATATTTTTCTTATACATATGTATGTTTTTTATGTTATTGAAGTTGCTGGTAAATAATTTAAAGCTAAGCATTATTCATAAATACATAAGAGCAACTCAATTGGAAAACATCTGTGTTGGTGCGGCTTTGCAAATTTGCTTAGGATTGCAATGTCACGGAAAATTGCAGTCTGGCAGAATTGAATGCGTCACCTTATGGCAGTTGTTCTCAGCTATAAAAGCAGTGGAGCAGTGGCTGAAAATCCACAGAACACGCTCGACTCCAGTGAGAGGTACACATACAGTAATCGACGCAGTCAACAAATGGAAAGTAAAATATTTATCACCCTATTGCTGGTGGGGTTGGCAGTCCAGTCGCTGGCTAAGCCCAAAGGAAAGTCGAGTAAATTGCGTAAGTATTTAGTATTTACACATACTGCTTACAGAGTGATTATAACCATATGCAGCTGAGTTTCTCAAGGTTTGCTATCGCGACTCCCCGGACTTGAATGCGTGTGCTCGTTCATCCTTTGAATCGCTGGAGTCACGTCTAATGGACGGTATACCCGAACTATATATACCACCTATGGAGCCACTGCGTGTTCCCGAGATTAAAATGGATCAGGATTCCGGAGCCATTTACTTGCATTCGGTGTACAAAAATGTGAAGATATCGGGCATATCGAAGCATACTCTGCAYAATCTGACCATCGTTCCCAGCCAGTTGAAGTTCGCGCTAGGGATTACCTTTCCCAAATTAAAGCTGGAATCGCAATATAGCATAAAAGGCAAGATCATGATGATGCCAATGCTGGGAGATGGAAACT